TGAGTTGACAGGCGTTGACAAGTAGCTTCTACAAACATTGACAGGTACCATCACTTCTTGGCTGAAACCAGGTTTCACAGCTATGCCTGATGGCTGGACATGACAACGGGAAGTAGCGAAAATGCAACCCCCCCAACGCTGAACTGCGTCTAAATTGGCTTATGGGTTACTGTTGAATGATCTGACTTTCAACTGGAATAAATTCTTTCGAAAAGCCCAATTTTATTGAATTACTGTAGTGCAGTATTACCTATTTGATATATTTGTCGACTTCCTACCGTATTCCTTCAGTTTATTGATTGGTTTATATCTGGTATGATTGGCTTATTATCGATTGATTACGATTTGATTTTTTGAATTAAGTAATGCTAGTGAGATCCTAACAGTAACTTACACTTGCACGAGATAAATATGACATGTGAACTTGATTTAGTTAGAGATTAGAGGATTGCAGTATTGGGCACTACGAATGCGCCATGCATTAAATTTTCATTAGGAGTCGTACGGGCGATTGCTTTGTCAGTTGAGGGTCCTGCACTAATCATTCGAGGGGACAGCATCGTTGGGAGAGTCCCAACGGGTACGCTGAGAAGGTGCCGCCACATTTGATCTGTAGCGGTCGTACGTAGCTTCGAGAAAACTTTCCGGTGGTTGAGTTTTCGCGATTTTTTCCTAGTTTCCCCCTACCCTCTCACAGAAATTTATTCCACAGTACGTTAGCTTCCAATCTTAGGGTCACTGCCCTCCAAAAAAAGTAAATAAAGATAGATCGAACGCATGAGGCGCGATAATTTGGTGCTTGCTCAAAAAGAATAGTAGGGGTGCTTTATAGTGGAGAAGAAGGAAAAGGAAGAAGAAAAAGTGAAGGTAAACGGCCGAAACCTGGGAAAAAGCATTCGTTCAGCGCGGCGTTGGACGAGTCTTACGTTGGCATCGTGCCATCAACCGCCGTAATAGATACGGCTGCATGTATGTATTCATGCATCCTTGTAGCAACGCTTCATCTCAATTTTGCTTTATAAAGCGACAAGAGTAATAGCGTTGATGTGACTGTGCGGCCATTTGTGGGCGGGTAGTTGCGGAGGGCGTCCGGGTCGGCAGGGTGCACCTTGGTTAGACGCTATAAAGGGTCCCTTGGTGAAAAAGGCGCCATGCAGCTTGCTAGGGGCACAGTATTCTTTCATGCTAGGCGTATTGATCACTTACGCTTTGTCTATCTATACAATATAAAAATTACGCAAAAATACAGTCAAATTTAGGATTAAAAAGCCGGAGTTGGTGTAGTGGCAAGTTTTGCTCCATACCACGCTCGTAGCACGGAGATCTGATCTCGATTCGGCTTTGACCCGGACCAACCAAGCCATCCAAACCTCAGGGGCTGGCAATCGCTACCTGACTTGCCTGGGACAGTGCAAACTCTGTATTGCGCATCTGATGCCCGACCCAGCCGCTCTATAGGCCATAAGGCTAGTACATTTCTAGATGGGAAGGTAAAGCGGGCGTCGAAATTTTTCTGGTATGATTTTTGTTGTTTAACATCGCGGTTCGCCCTCTCTCCCCTCAATCTCACCAGAATGCGGAGTTATTGGCAGAAGTCAGACTCCAGGCAATACTCGAACCTGCACCTCATACTGACCAGGCGAATGCGCTATCCATTTCGCCGCCAGTTTTGAAAAATCTTTTTTTGGATTGCTACGATACAGACAAAACAAGATTTTTAGAATTTATTCGATGTGGAAAGGGTCTATTTACATAGTTCAAAGATAACTGCATAGGATTACGGTGGTGGCTACGTGTAACACCAGTTTTCCTCCCAGTTACTTTGTCGCCGTTTTTCCTGTTTCTTCTTCGGTTTCTCTTCCTGATGGTGGTTGTGCCGTTGATGTTGAGTTGATACACTCCGTAAGGGCAGCTATATAGTGTTGCGAACTAGGCACGATTTGTTCCAGCCAGAGGTTGACCTTAAAATTTTCGGAATTAGAAGAGATCGACAGTGACACCCCCCGTGTATGGTCTTGATCCCTGCTACCGATAGGGCGTGTGGTGAGGGTGTGGACTGGAGCCTTTTCCACCATTTATGGTATCCCGAGTTGGCGGGGATTGGCTGCTAAGGCTGTTCTGGCTCCTTTCCAACTCGCGCCTCTTCACACGCCCTAGCGCGTGCAACGATCAGATCTGTATGTCACCGCAGTACCTTTTCGCAGTCAGCGTTCCCAAGGGTGAAATTGTATGCGAAATGTCCCGTGACGTTTGCCCATTTCAGTTCATCTAATTCTCCCAGAGATCTGGAGTACTCCTCAATCTGGAACAAATTTGAAGCCCTGGTGCAAGAAAGGCCCACGTTAAGAGAAGACGAGGGTTATAGTACTGACCTTTGTGTCATCCCAGTAGCCCATGTACTCCTGAATTTTATTCTGATCGAATTCAGCATCAGAGATTAGCGTAACGTGCGCTGTGCCGTTTCCTTTTCCAGTGGCTGGAGGTGCTGGCACTGGTGAGCAGGCCTGAAAATGAGTGCTGTGTGCAGTTCGGCTTTGGGGTCGGCATTTGGCTGGATCCCTTGGATCACGGCTGATCACTGCCTCCTGTGGAGACCTGTGAAATCCTGCAAAGCTGTGTTATAACAGGAGCTTCGTTTACACTTGACAAGAGTCTACAGGTCTAGCCGAGGTAAGACTTGTAATATATACACTAGAGACTCAGATTCTTGTAGAGGATTCAACGAGAGAGCGAAATGCCCCTCCCAAGCCGAACAGCGAATTATGTATAGCATAACCTTCCAGACAATTCGGTCCTTTTCAGGCCACGAAATCAGTTCATACTATGAGGTAGCGTCCACCAGCAACCATCAGCGTTTCGAGTCCATCACTGTCAGCAGTTAGGAAAGATAGATATCAATTTAGCGAGCGGCATTGTCTGCGAGCGTCTACCAGCGTCCAGGAGTACGGTACTGTGTAGTATTACGGTGCGGTTGCACACGCCACATTTTCACGACGCCTAATCCAGCTGTCTGCTCTCTCCTACTTCTCCATACACTGCCAGCAATCTGCTGTCCTCCTTATCTAACATACCCTCTACTTCTGGTCGCTGATGGACGCTGGCAGACGCTAGATCGATATTCACAGTCTAGTTCTGGTCGCTCGAGCCGCTGGCGGACGCTGGTGGACGCTGATGGTCGCTGGTGGATCCCGAAGTATGAACGCACGTTACCAAGAACTTACCAAAGTAACTCCTGTAGCAGCGAGAGCGTAAAGCAGGCGTTCCATGGTAGGAATCCCAAGTGATGATCTTGGTGGTCAGCAGGGCTTTTGTACCCTCGTACATGGCATTATTGCTCACCGAATATTTGGTTTCGTGTCATTTTTCGGCTACGTTTACGAATTTCGTGTGGTCTTCTAACTGGAAATGTTTATTATCGATTATTGCCCTTTTAGTTCATTTCCGTTATTTTCATGCCATTTATGCTTGCTTTGGCTCAGTTACAGTACTCACAGTCAACCTAGATGGTGGCCGGGGGGGGGGAGTAGCCCGAAAGTGATGAAGTCCCACGTCCGGCTGAACAAGGCACTACGTCAGTTCCAATTTTAGCCATCCAAACTGTTCCGTTTCCCATTAACTCCTGATCGACCTGTCGGGCCACCTCGTTCGATTGGCAGATCAGCTGGTCAACCGATCGGAGCCATAAAATGACGAAAATAGAAGGCCGAGAAATTCCAGAATGGCATAACATCAGACAAACTTATGAGTGGGAGTACAGTAATTAATTACTACATCCTTATACCATAATGGGTGTTTTTCCATCTTGGGAAAACCCACGATGGCAAGTGAGTGGTCTCAGGGTGCCCAGTGCGTGTACAAGGGGAGCAGACATCGATTTTTTTGAACCGTGGTCGATTTTTTCTTTATGTAGCTTTTCAGGCTTCTAGTCAATACCCGTGCTATACAGTATCGCGTTGTACTATACTATAAAATACTATACTATACTACACTATACTATGTTGTATTATACTATGCCGTACTACACTGTTTTATACTATTCTATATTATGTACTGTTATATACTGAAATATACTACACACTACGGCGCTGTTCGACCGTACATGGCTGAAATATAATACATACACACTTCGGCGCTGTTCGACCTGGGAGGTGCATTTTGCGGTTTCCGCTAGTCCTTTCACTAATTCATGTTAACTGACCGGTCCCATCTTGTTGAGACCTGCAACTTCATGTGAAGCATGCATGCACAGTGGTGCACGGAGATCCACTTTGCTTACAAGAATTTACAGGTTCGACCAGGTGCCCTGCACAGGCTTCTCAGAGTATCCTTCGTCTGTTTGTTGCCCTCACTGCTTGACTATTCTGAACTGTATTATAACCTTACTGTCTTTTTACAGTAATCTCTCTTATTTGTTTAATCCAGGCGGAGGTGGGGTTAAGTGGGTACTGGTAGCGCGCTTACCAGCGAGTAGTTCTGGGGCTGGGATCCGGCCGAACGGTTAGCCAAATCCTGTGCCTTTGAAAACGGTGAGTTTGGTGGGCTGCAGATATCGCACTCTAGAATCGGGATAGAAAGGTGTGAGCACTGACCTTCAATATGGCCTGAACACTCAATTTCATTGCACAAGCCATGCGGACCTACTTTGACGCTACAACTCTGAATGCATAGTGCATGGTGCATCGCAAAGAAGGATCAGTCAATGGCGGAGGCTATTTCCCTATCCTTTATCGGTTTATTGATATGCACCTCGCAGTGGACTGCTTGTTCTTTCAATTATTGATCGTCACCTTCCAACAGGAAAAATTTCATTTATTCACATTTTGCTTAAATTTATTTTCATGCTTTCATTTACTAACATTTCATATTTTGTTTTCCTCTGAAGTAAAATTTGTGTAGTCTCATTACGCTGTTAAACATTCAGGTGACCATGATGTCTCGGGACTACGCAGTATTCCTAATCAGTGCTGAATTTCGAGATGGCTACTGCAACCTCCAGACCAGTCCTTCCCTTGGACAGCGATTTCATGGATAACCAGAACAAGGAGATTCTCCAGAATTCATCAGGATGGGGAAAATGGTGAGTAAATGAAGGTTTCTGCCACAGCTTTTTCATTGATGCTGCCTTTTATCGTCGCGAAAAATGCTCAACTCTATGAGATGAGACTAGAAAGTGCTCAGCTAGAGCCCTTTCTCGCTTGGAAGTATTTTTCAAGAATGCGCCACAGATTCGACTCCCATCCGGTGTCGTGGTGGCATTCGAGTGCTTATTTCGCATCTTGCGCATACTGCGGGGGGGGGGGGACGGGGTTGATGATCACTTCAGATTCTTAATTGTGAGTGACTGCGGGCCGGGTTAAATTTAGCTCTGAGGTGATTTTATGAGTCTTTTGACTCCCTGCTAAGCTACGAAATGCTACGATTGTCGTTTTCCACCACGCTCCTTTCCCTACGTCTAGGCAGGAAGGTACGAAGGGCGGAGAAGGATTTCCCCTCTCCCCACCGCTCTTCATACCTTCCTGTAGCGAATGCTGTCTAGCAACAGAAACAGGGCGCGGATAAACTGCGGAGTGGAGAGCAGTGGAGGGATTTTTCTCCTCGCGCAAAACTAGAAATACGTAATGGAAATGAAAACTTCTGCCCATCCATAGGGACTTGGAAGGACCTCAGGAGCGGAACTGAACCAATTCTATGTAGAGCACGTCGTGCGTTGGGATCCCCTGCGAAGAGGGTTGTATTCGGTTGCTGGATGTAGGGGGTCGTAATTGCCTTTGAGAAAAAGGTTTCCGTTTGTCCATTTCTCCACATCTATTCGAATGACGGTAATCTTAGGTTCGTATGAAGAACCCATCGAAGGACCCTGCCCCCTCTTAGATTACGAAAACGACAGTACGGACGGAAGAGCGAAAATCATCTACATTAGAATTGAATCATCTATACGAGCCTTCGTGATCCTGAGAGCCAGTGAAATGTGTGGCGCGCACCGCCAAGGGCCAAATAACCACTTAGCGATCCATCACAATCGCCTGCATGCCTAAAGGCAGCAATAAAATGGTTCAAAAAGATAATATAGTCTCAGAAAGATAATAGAAAATATGAATAGACAGCGGCTTTGAGCGCAGCGCTATAGGTGCCGACCAGCTGAAAATGCACAGCCACCTTCCTTGTACCTTCCGTGGTAGTGAGAGAGAATCGCTTACGTGCCTAATAATCGACTTCCAAGGTGACTTACGTGATCTCGGGGAACTTCTTTAGAGGTCACCCCCCTTTCTGTTCCGGGCCGAAATGTGAACGAGTTTCGTTGCATAATCGTATCGTGAAAAGCAGTCAGTTTTGGTCAATGATTCGCCGATCACTCCACCATAGGGAGACGGCGGAAGAGATCGTGTAGACCAATTTGAGTCCCGTGGTTACAACCACTAACCTGACGCGACTATAAAGTGTCGTATCCCTTAGCATAGAGATGTCATTCGGCGCTCGCCATGTCATTTTTTGAACCGTTGTACTAGCCATAAGTTACCCACTTTCTGACCCCAGTTCTCAAACTGAGTTCTCGAAGCTAACAAATTGAAGGCAAAGAAACAGTAATTCATAAAGAAATTCTCATTCAAAGTGTAGAAAATACCGCTGCGGTTCGGCTTAGGAGGGACATTCTGCATTTTTGCTAGTTTCTTTTGCTAGCTCATGTTAAATAACAGGTCTCACTTTGGTGAGACATGTAAACTCTTGTGAAGCTTCAAAGTGGTGCACTGCAGCCGTTGTGGTAACAAGAATCTACAGGTCTTCACAAGGTGACCCGTAAAGCCTCACTGAGTCCCATTTGCTGCTTACACTAAACAGAACTGTGCTGAAAAGACCAACATAATGCTCTGTTTGGACTTTTTACCTTCAAACGCCTGTATAGAGCGTTCCCCCCCCCTCACAGTTGGGGTCGAGGGGGGGGACTAACAAGTTTAACTGGCACAACTTCATGGATTCACATAATTTCACTGATCTCTACTCGAGAGGGTACAAAGTGTTTCCTCAAGCTGAAAACTCTGCCCATTTTCCATCTCCTTGGCTCCGCTCTGGGGGCACCACTTTCATTCTGAAAGGACACAGTTGCGCTTTTGTCTGTCGCCTCTCGCCCCCTTTCTCTCTCATCACTTTGTCGCCTGGTTTCTCGTCCAGATGCCCAGTCTTTCCTTGCCGCTCATGCAATGCTCAGATTCAATTGACGACGCAGGAGGGGTGACTCGCAGCGATTTTGGTGATTCCTTTTACTTCCTTCGTAATGAGAGGTCTGTGGAACCTTAACTTCCACATTTGAGGCCATCCCAATCCCTCTATGTAGATTGAACCATAGCTCTACCCTGGAGTTGAAATACGCTATATAAAAGTCACGTTGGTGATAATATAAAGCGCATTCCAACCAGGGGAGGGCCACTGCAGTTTTGCTTCCCATTGTCGTGTCAAGCCATCAAGTTTTGTGAAATCTTGTGAACTTGTCCTACTTGTCAACTCTTGTGAATATTACCTGTCAACACTTGTTGAGCAATAACACGACAATGGGAAGCAGCAAAAGTGCAGAGGTCCCACCCCTCTAGCCGAACACCGCGTAATATATGGTTATAAAGAGAGTAAACAGCTTACTGTGAAAAGTAGCAGGGAAAGGAGGGATGTCCCCTGCGAGTATTACACCTCAGACGCAGAAAAAACCCGTTGAAAAACGTCGCATCAATCTTGTTGAGGAACTCCAAGCTTTGAGATCATTAGTCAAAGCAGTATGATTCCTCTCAACATCGAATTCCTCACGTTCTTTCTTATCTTTCCTCCAGGCCTCCCACAGAGTTTTCCTAGTTTTCCCTCAAGAGCTCAGCCTGATTAGTTCTGCCCCGTGCCTTATATGGGGCTTTTTTCTCTAAAGCATATGTGCGTCGGGGGAGGGCACTCAACCACTTTAGGCAGGGTATTTCTATTCGACTGACGTAGATCCCACGATGAACCTATGAGCTGCCCCCTCCCTCCCCCTCCTGCCCTCCCAAGGCTAATGGTGTCATTTAAGCCTTTGCCGTTACTTCATAGTTAAACAACTGCTAATATTTGTAGAGGAGCAGCGCTTTGCTCGCTAAATTCCCACTGTGAAGTTCTCTTCACGCGCTAAGCATATGTGCAGAATTTCCGAGAAAATCCCTTGTTGATCTTTCGATAAGAATGCTAAACAAAAGCTGCCAGGCGACAGAGAGAGGGGGGGCATTGACGAGCGTGAGGAATCCACGGATCCCACGTT